GATGTGTTATATGTATATATATGCCTATACACACGTGTGTATATGTATGTGCATGTGTGTGTGTGTGTGTGTGTGTACAATATGTGTGTATATATGTATAGCAGTAAATAGAAAGAGACGTCATGATGTATTGGCAAGAACACTACCTGCTTCCGGGATCAGAGGACCTGGGTTCAAATGTTTCCTCTGACACTATCTGTGAGACTTTGGCCAAGTCACTTAACATCCCTGGACCTCAATTTTGTCTTTTGTAAGATGAAGGGGTTGGACTGGGGGAACCTGAGGTCCCTTCCAGCTCCCAGTCTGTGACCCTATGAAATTCTTGTTGAGTGAATGCTGTGACCACCGGACTGTGTGCATGGAGTGCGGGGGAGGCAGGCCGGCCCATCAGCCGCATCTCCCTAAGGCCAGCATCGCTGGAAGGATGCCCTCACAGAGACCTCTGTAGCCCACAGTCTGCCGTGGGGGTGGGGAATCTGCTTGAGGACGCAGGAAAGGGAGATCTTGCTAAAATAACTTGCCTATGAATGAATCGCTGCCCTGTTGCTTCTCCCCTGTGCTCTCCCAGGCTCTCCCTGCAGACCAGCAGCAGGAGAAAGTGCCCAGGGAAAGGATCCTCGCAGAAAGGGCAGAGATGAGGCTCCAACAGGTGGAAAAACGGAGAAGGGAGAAGGAGGAGAGGAAAAGGCAGCAGCAGGAAGAACACCGGCGGCTGGAGCAGCTAAAGGAGGAGCTCGAGCAGGAGCAGCAGAGGAGAGCGGAGGAGAAGCGGTTGGTTGGCCCGATGTTACCACGAGGAGGGAGCGGGGTGGGGAGCAAAAGGACAAAGGATGGCTCGGCAACTACCTCAGGAAGTCTGGGTCCTAGGCTCTTTCCATGGAGGAAGGGGATTTGACTTGTCTCTGTCCCAAGGTAGCCTAAGGACCAACTTTGGGTTTTAATAATGATAAGCTCTCGTGTCTGACTCTTCATGACCCCATCTGGGGTTTTCTTAGCAGAGATACTGGAGAAGTTTGCCATTTTCTTCTCCAGCTCATTTTACAGATGAGGAAACTGAGGCAAACAGGGTTACATTACTTGCCCAGGGTCACACAGCTAGTAAGTGTCTGAGGCTGGATTTGAACTCAGCAAGATGAGTCTTCTTGACTCCAGGCCCAGTGCTCTATGCTCCATGGCACCACCTAGCTGTCCGTAGCTCCCATTGAGTAGAGCACCTTATAGTCCCAACAACCCTCTGAGCCACAAAATACAGATGCTCTTATCCCCATTGCACAGGGGAGGAGGAAACTGAGGCTCAAAAGTCTACACCAGCTTGTCCAAGGGGGCAAAACCAGGATGAAAACCCAGGGCTTCTGACTTCATATCCAGTATTCTTCTCACTGTGCTACAACATGCCTTAGAAAGACATCCTCATTATCACTAAGTGCTTGAATGGGTGGCCAAAAAAAAAAAAAAAAGTGATGGAATCTCCTTCTTGGCAGGCCTCTAAAAAAGTTTAGACTATCATCTGTGTTGTCTTTCCAAAACAGGGAGGTCCAACAGCTTCCTTTCACCATTTGACCCTAGTATTTCTAAACCCTAAAGAAGTTTTCAAAAAACTGTGAAACCCTTCACAGAGAGAACTCTTTTCATGAGGCGTCATTAGGAGACCAAGCCACCCTGAAATCACGGCCTCATTTTAGTGAAAATCCTGGACACAGAAGAGAAGAGCTCTTTAGGGTATGGAAAGGAATAACTCACTCCTGTTCACATCCTCCACCAGCACTTTGTGGGTGTCTGTAATATTAGAAAAGTTAGCTTTAGATTAAGAAGATGACCCTGAAAGGCCACCTAATGGAAACCACTCTTTTACAGATAAATCATATAATAGCTAATAATAGTTAGAATTTATAAAGCACCTACTATGTGCTGGGCACTGTGCTAAACACTTTACAAATATTATCTCATTTGATCTTCACAACTCTGGTTAGGTAGGTGCTATTATTATCCCCATTTTACAATTGAGGAAACTGAGGCAAACATAGGTTAAGTGACTTGTTAAGTAGTAAGGGTCTGGGGCTGATCTTGAACTCAAGTCCTTGAAACTGATCAATCAATCAATTAATAAACATTTATTAAATGCATACTATGTACCAGGCATTGTGCTGGGGATACAGACAAAAAAGGAAGCAAGTCAAGAGTTCCTGTCCTCACCAAGCTTACATTTTATAGAGGGAAATAATATGTATGAATATAGGAAAATATATAAAGTAATACAAGAGAATTTCAAGATGGAGAGGCACTAGCAAGGAAGAAGGAGGCAGTCAGGAAAAGCTTCATGTAGCAGAGACAGCTCCCTGAGGGTGCTGAAATGATTCAGGAGTGCAGTAGTAACCTCAGGTACAATTGGGGGTGTTGAATAAAAATAAGGGGGTGGTGAAAGCATAAGTAAAGAACAGAAGATAAGAAAATTTTGAAAAACTGTTTGTACATGTTTCATCTGTTGTGTAACGAAGTTAAAGTCACAGTGATTACATTATTTTCCAAATAAACACACAAAATGCAAGTTATAGCTGATCAGTAGTCAAGTCTGCTGACAGGTCTTAACAAGCAAGTGTTGACAGTCAAGCTTGGGGAAGTCTAGCACACATAGGCATGTAGGAATATATGCATGCAATAACTTTACAATATGATACTATATGGTTACATGATGCAATATTGTGTCATCAAAATTTCGAGGCAGGAAAAAACCCACAAATTTACAATAAATTATTAAATTTAAGATGTGTCATTTTAAAAAAAATTATATATTTTTTGAAATGACACAAATTTTTTTAAAAACCGTTAAAGGGTTAAAGAAAATAGATTTCTAGGGGGCACTGACTAATTTTTTTTTGAAAAGGGGGCAGTAAGCCAAGTAAGTTTGGGAACCTCTGGTGTAGCAGGCAGCATTTAAGCTAGGGATTCAAAGTCGTGATTTTGGGGAAAGATGCATTCTAGGCATGGGAATCCTGCCTTTACAAAGGCAGGAAATGGAGTGTGATATATAAGGAACAGTAACAGCCTACTTTGCTGGAATATACAGGGTATAAAGAGGAGTGATGTATAATAAGCTTGAAAAGGTAGGTTGGAGCCAGGTTGTAAAGCTTTAAATGCCAGAAAAAAGACGTTTGCATTTCATTCTGGAGGTACTAGGGAGAGCACTAGAGTTTCTTGAGCAGGAAAAATGTCAAAGTCTGATTTATGCTTTAGGAATCTTATTTTGGGGGCAGCTATATTGCGTAGTGGATAGACCAACGGCCCTGAAGTCAGGAGGACCTGAGTTCAAATGCAGCCTCAAACCAAACGCTTGACACTTACTAGCTGTGTGACCCTGGGCAAGTCACTTAACCCCAATTGCCTAAAAAAGGAATCTCATTCTGGTAGCTATGTGGAAGATTGATTGGAAAGGGGAAACAGCATCAGGGAGATCAATTAGTCTATTGCAATAATCCAAGCCAGAGGTGATGATGGCCTGAACATCAGTAATTCCATGGGATAATCTTATGAGTGGAAAGAAGGGGATGGATAACAAGAGATGTTTTAGGGGGAGAAGCAACAAGATTTGACAAATGATTGGATATGTGAGGTGAGGAAGAATGAGAAATTAAACTACAAGCATGCATAATTGGTAATTGAAAAGATGGTAATGCCCTCAGCAGAAATAGGTAAGTATAGAAATGAGGGGCAGGGGAGGAAGGAAATATAACTAGTTCTGCTTGGGACTTGTTAAGTTTGAGATGCCTACGAGACATTTCGTTTGAAACATCCAAAAGGCAGTGGGTGATATGGGGGCTGGATTAGAGCTTAGGGAAGAACTAAGGGTGAATAGATAGACCTGGGAGCCATATGCATAAAAATGATAATTGAACCTATATAGGAGAGCAAATGAGATCACCATTTAAGAGATTATAGGGAAAATAAAGACGAGTTCAGGACAGAGTCTTGGAAGACAGCCATGTTTAGGGAGTGGTTCATGAGTGAGTCAGCAAAGGAGAAGAAATTGTGAGAGAAGTAAAAAGAGAACAGAGAACAGTGTCACAAAAACCAAGAGAAAAGAAAGTACCCAAGAAGAGAAGGTGGTCAGCAGCACCCAAAGCTGCAGAGAGACCAAGAAGAATGAGGATTTAGAAAAAGTCAACAGCTTTGACAATTAAGAGATCACTGATAACTTTTGAGAAAATGGTTTCAGTGTGAGGTTGAAAGCCAGATTAATATCTTAAAAGAAGCTAATTACAAACTCCAAAGGAGTTTTATTTGGTAGAATTCCAGGAGAGGAGGCATTTTTGGCACCCCTTAAATCCTATGAAGGCAATGCCAATCCCATAGAGGAGAGTGACTCCACTTTTAAATGTTCACATCATTCAATGTTTCATTTGGGCTTCTAAAAGGAAAAATACAAGCGCAATTAAAAGAATTGAGGATTTCATAGTAATTTGTTATGATGCATTTTTTCAATCAATGAATAATAATAGCAGCACTAACATCCTAGCGTTCAGGGAAATGTTTTGACAAGAAAAAGGATTCTATTCTGGAAAAAAAATTTGGAACCATTATGCTAAAACAGGATATCAGGTTTAGTTTGCAAAGAGGATAGCCACAATGAGGGCTGCACTATCCTATAAGAATCTTGCAGCAGAACAGAAGCTCCTTGAGGGTAGGAATTCTCATTTTTTATTGTTGTCTGTGCATTCTCCATGGATAGCACCCTATGGGCCTGGCACATAGTAGGTATTTAGCAAGTGCTCGTTCAATCGAAGCATCTTAATGGCTCTCGCTCCAATTTCTGAGACTCGGGTTTTTCAGCTTACAGAAACAGAAACTGGAAGAAGAGCGGCGACAGCAGGCGGAGGAGGAGAGGAGGAAATTGCAGCAAGAGCAAGCAGCTCAGGCCCGTGCCAGGCAGCAGCAGGAGGAATTCCGCAGGAAGATGCAGGAGATGCAGAGGAAAAAGCAGGAGGAAGACGCCAGACGGGCAGGTGGGAGAGGGCCAGGGCTTTCCCTGGTGCCCATTTCCTTGAGACAGGATCATTCATGAAGTATTATTTCAAATGTATTTCAAATTTAAGCCAGAAACACATTGGCCACAAGATCTCTTTCATCCCTGCCCCACTGGTTTGCAACCTGTACTCCTGCTCCTGTTATATTTGTACGTGTTATGGACAGGGCTGATTGGAAGACTGGTTCAAAAGGAAAAGAAAAAACTGACACGAAAAGAGCTCTATAGACTGCTCACCTTTATCTCCCTCCTTGTCCAACAATCCCCTAAATTGGCGTGTTTTATTCAACTCAGGTTAATTCCCAAAAGGTTGGCAACATGCTGGTACTTAAGTCAATGGTGTCTAAGGTCTCAAAATCCCATGATCCCAAACTGCTGAACTTTTTCAAGGATCCCTAGTAATTTCACACCTGATGTTGAAGTCAAATATTATTTTCTATATTTATATAGCACCTACTATGTGCCAGGCATGGTGCCTAGTGCTTTACAAATATCTCACTTGATCTATCCATTTTGAGGAAACTGAGGCACAGGTTAAGTGACTTGCCCAGGGTCACACAGCTAATATCTGAGGCTAGATACGAATTCAGGTCTTCCTGACTCCAGGCCCAGCATTCTATCTATCCACTGTACCACCTAGCTGCCTCTAAAAGCAATTACTAATGTTTGCAATTGCTTTTTTATACTTACCAGATCTGTGACAAAGGGCAAGTTATTTAACTTATTGTTTCTTCATCTGAAAATGAGGATACCATCCATACAAAGATGTTGTCAAAATGAAATATTACATATCAGCTATTATCATTGTTGTTTTCTGTCCCTTAGAGGCAGAGAAGCAAAGGCAAAAGGAGTTGGAAAGGCAGCTTGAGGAAGAAGAGAAAAGGCTGATGGAAATGGCCAAAGAAGAGCGCCTGGAATACCAGAGGAGGAAGGAAGAGGAAGAAAAGAAGGCCAGGCAGGATGCGGAGGCAAAAAGGCAGAAAAAACAGGAAGAGGCTAGATTGGCTTTGGAGGAAGCCAAGAAAATAGCCGCGCAACTTGAAAGGTGCTTGTTACTGGTGACTCAGAAGAAATGGAGCAGGGGTCTCTATTACTAGTCCTAAATTTGCCAAGATTTTTTGGAGGAAAAAGCATCTTTTGATTTTTAGATTCAGCCAAGCAAAACTTGGAAGTCAGGTTTTTCACACCTCCCTAAGATTTTGAAATCCCATGGGAGAGATTTCCCTGGCATGCTCAGTGTTCAAGTGGGTAGGTAAGTGGCCTGGGGGTGAGGGGAGAGGGCTGGATCGCAGAGGCAGAGGCGTCCAGTTTCACCCTTTTCTCCAGGGCTGCTATGAGTGGGTTATCAAGTTGGTTAAAAAGAAAGACTTGGAAGTGCAGCTAGGTGGTGCAGTGGATAGAGTACCGGCCCTGGAATCAGGAGGACCTGAGTTCAAATCCAGCCTCAGACACATAATCCTTACTAGCTGTGTGACTCTGGGCAAGTCACTTAACACCAAATGCCTCGCAAAAAAAAAAAAAAAAAAGAAAGAAAAAAAGAAAAAGACAGACTTCAGGGATTATTTGCTAGGACAGAGGAAAGGAACAGCTGTGGGCCTAGCTCACAAAAGAGCTAAAATAGCCCAAAGCATGAACTACCTCAAAAGGAACCAAAGAGGCACAGTCTAGCAGCAATTCAGCAAAGAAGCAGCAGGTGGCATTTCTAGCATGTGTACGACATATCACTAAGCAAGGCTTTTTGTCCCATACCGGCTCATGTCTCGCTAATTTAGGAGTCTCAGGAGATGGAAAATATAGGGAGACTCACAACCAGCATGTCCCTGAAACATAAATGAAATAAGACCTTGCTATGGCCTCAGCTCAGAAAAGCTCAGAGAGAAACAAATGACACCATATTCAAGTTGGCCATCAGGAATTTTAACCAGTGGACAAAGTTCTGCTAAGAATCTTGGTACCCAGGGGAAACACAAGATCGTAGAATGGGAGAGGCACCCCCTTACCAAATAGCTGAATTACTTGGCACATTTTAAAATAGTCCCAGATGGTCAGGCCCAACAAAGACAATACAACCTGTCCATCTGATGCCCTTCAGAGGATTACTCTGATTTTCCTTCTAATCAGGACTGGAGCAAGGAAGGGTCAGCTAATCAGGTCCACCAGAGGGCTCACTTCAGTTACACATGGACTGTTAGAACCAGATGATGGACCATATGGAGAGGAAGAGGAAATGGCACATTTGTGCCACCCCTACCCCTGCCCTTGAGAGCTGGGGAAGTCCCAGATATGGCTGCCAAGGTGAGGGCACTGTCATCTGCTGCTTCTTGGCTTAACTGCTTCCTCCAGGATGCTTCTCTGTATTGGCAGCCCTTTTGTGAAATAACAAACAGGTGCCGCAAGACCCTGAAGGGAAGTCTGTATTTTTCACCACTTGGATACCCAAGGCTGATATTTGGGTAGGAGTGATTAAATCCCTTTCTGCTGTCCCTAGTGCCTATGGCAGCTAGCTTCAGAGCTTCTCTTAACCACATGTTAGAAATGAGGTGGAAAAAAGACCTTTGCCCTGGATTCCTATAGCTATAGGCATAGCTGCAGGCAGTTGCCCTACTTACAATCATAAAAACTGGGACACAGAGACAGAATATGAAAAATACCCCCCTTATATTGGTTTGTTCAGTCGTGTCCAACTCTTCACAACCCCATTTGGGGTTTTCTTGGCAAAGATACTGGAGTGGTTTGCCATTTCCTTCTCCAGCTCATTTTACAAATGAGGAAACTGAGGCAAATAGGGTTAAGTGCTTTGCCCAGGGACAAATAGCTAGAAAGTGTCTGAGACCAGATTTGAACTTGGGAAGATGAGTCTTCCTGACTCCAGTCCTGGTGCTCTATCCACTGTGTCACTTAGGTGCCCCAAAACTGTGATATGTACATTAAATTCACTCTATGGCTTGAAATGAATATAGGTAAAGAATACAATCTGGAGGAATATGGTAGTGTAGAAAGAGATGAGAGCCAAAGAAACTCCTCTTCAAGCCTTCTCCTACCAATAATAAACTTTCAGCATTCAGCAATATTAAGATACAAGAAAACATATCCAAGAGAAGGATAATCGTCTGTAAGCAGCTCTCAGTCTGAGCAGTTGAAAGCAGAAACAATAAAGCTGCTCACCAAAGAAGCTATGGGGTGATGAGTATTAGAGACAGAAGACTTGGCTTCTCTCTAGTCCCCATATAACTAACTAGTGTAGCCTGGGGCAAGGCATTTTCTGGGCCAACAGGTCACTCTTAACTGAAAGGATAGTAATAAATGATGTTCTGATTCCTTTCAACTCTGTGGTTGTCTATGAACGTATGCCCCTCTTTTTTATTAAGGAAGCGAGGAGGTCAATGATAGCCACAAGTGTAAGACACTGGAAATGCAGTATGTGAAGTCTCGGTTTTGGGGTGGTGGTTGGGCAGAGTAATGCCACTTGTTTTCCCGGTGCTGAATCAGTATTGTGCTCATAGGGGGCTTGTCTCTTCAGGGAGAAGGCAGCGATGAAGGCACACCAGCATTTCAATCAACAGCTATTAAAAGAAGCGAATGAACTGAAGCATATTCAGAGCATTTCTCGACCATGGGTCTACTCTTATTTCCAGTTGCTACAAATATCTGGTTCTGAGGCTGTTATAGAAGAGAAATGAGAAGTAAGTTGGGACGTGGGAAGGAAGACAAAGTTGGGTTCTATTTTCCTTTTGAAGTAGACGTCAAGTTATGACTTCCACCTCAACTGGTCTGGCCCAGCCAGGCCCAATCCTTTCAAAACCTACTGCATAAACTGCAATGTGGCAGATAAAAGTTTATATAATGTATAGTCTTTGCCCTCATTGAGCTTACAGTTTAGTAAAGGGATATGATATAAACTATGGTACAAAATAATCCATAAGAATGAGACAGCAAGCTCTTTGGACATGACTCTTGGATGACTCTTGCTACCAATCTGGGCATATATCCCTATGGGGAATTGGAGGACCTGGAGAGCTGTGCTCATCAATGTATTCTGCATCCTTGTTAAGCATCTATATGTAATTTTGCTGTTAACTCATCAAAGATTTTTGTTTGTTTTTTTAAATAAAAATGAAGAATGAAAGATAGTATGATGTACTGGATAAAGGGCTGGAGTCAGGAAGGCCTGGATTCAAGTCAACCCTCTGACATTTACTGTGTGACCACCAGCGCGACTCATTTAACTTCTCAGTACCCTCAGGCAATTCTCTAAGACTATAAATTACATCTGAATTACAAGTCACCATAGGTGAGGGAGTTTCCACACCACAGTTCTCTACACCAATGATATTTCAGTTGGGGTTAAAAAACAAAAAAACAAAAAACCACCCTTACGAATCCTTTGCAAACAAGGTACTCTATAAAAAGTCCAAGGGAAGATTACCATCATCTGGGGGTGGGGTCAGGGAGGAGACCATGATAGGGCACAAAATCAGGAAAAGTTTCTCAGAGTAGCTCAAGGGAATTGCATAGGTAGAAGGGGAGATGCCCATAGTAAAGGGAACAGTGTAAGCAGAAAAGTACAAACATATATTAGGGATGGCAAGTAACTCAGTTGGCTTGAAGAACTCATGAAAAACTCCTGTACTCACTGCAGGAAGGCAATTCTTTTACTCTTTATAAATTGATTCTCTGTCATTCCCCATTGTGTCTATTCCAAATCTCTCCCCTTACTCCTTTCAGAAGACCACTACTCTTGTTCTACATAGCCACTGAGACCATTTTTACCTTCTCTTCTACTCTGTATCTCAAAACCTTCTGACATCACCCCAAATTCTTTCCTCCTTTATTCAGTCTCTGAAAAAGAGATGGCCCTTCTTCTCAAGAAGAGCAACTCTTATATTTATGCCCATTCTCTGTCCTCCAGGAGCATGCCTCCAGTTATTTTCATTTTCTCTTCCATTCAGAAGTATTTAAAAAAAAAAAAAAGCCTTGCCCTATCATCTGGAAGGACTTCGGGAAAGATATCTTATAGAGTCAGGAATTTCAACTGAATCTTAAAGGGCAGGAAAAATAAGAGACAAAGGTCAGGAGCATAAGAAAGCATTCCAAGCATGGTGAACAGTTAGCCTCGGGAATAAGAGATACAATGTGTAGAAGAAACAGCAAGTAAGACCAACGAAGGTAGATAGCAGATCGTGTGTAGGGAGTAAAGTGTAAGTAGACTGGAAAGGTGCCTTGTTATGAAGAATTTCCAGTGTCAAACAAAGGACTTTCTATTTGACCACGGAGGTAATAAGGAGCCACTTAAGTATATGTGGTATTGTGTCTGTGTGTGTGTATGTGTGAAGGGGGATGGTCAGGCCTCCGCTTTTGAAAAATCACCTTGGTAACTGAATAGAGATGATGAATTGAAGTAGGGAAAGACTTAAAGCAGGGAGACCAATTAAACAGTCTAGGCAAGAAATGAGGGCCTAATGAGGGTGGTTCTGTGTGAGCAGAGAGAAAGGGATGTACATGAGAGATGCTTTCCAGTTGGAAATGACAGGATTTGGTAATGGAGTGAAATGTGGGGTGAAAAATCAAGGATGATATTTAGGTTTTGAACCTGGATGATTGGGAGGATTATAATGCTCTCAGCAGTAATATGAAAGCTCAGAAGCTAGAAGACAGGTGGGCTGGGGAAGATGATTCTATACCTAGAGGACATCTAGATTGAGACATCCAAAAGGTAGTTGGTGATATGAATATATCTCAGAAAGCCAGGGCTCCTCCACAAAGCTACCAAAATGATATTCCTAAAGTACAGGTCCGACTTTGCTATTCCCCTACATAAGAAACTCCAGTGGCTCCTTAATAATTTTAGAATCAAAAATAATATCTCTGGCATTTACAGTCTTCATAATCTGGCCCCAACCTACCTTCCATATACCCTCTATATTCAAAAGTTAAATTTGCCTTATTCCATTTCACGTCTGCCTTTGTACAGGCCTTTTCCTATAGCTGGAGTGCATTCTTGTATCCATTTCACTTTTCAGTTCCCAGTATTTAAAGCTCAGTTCAAACTTAAAAGACTTTGCTGATACCCTTCACTTGACCCAACCTCCAAATTATCTTGTATGTACTGGTTTTGTTTATATACCTAAATGTACACATGTTCTCTCTCTCTATAGAATATAGACTTGAAGGCAGGTAGTTTCATTTTTACCCCTATATCCCCCAAACCTAGCACAGTGTTTGACACATAGTAGGGCACTTAATAAAAGCTTATTAAGCTGGAACGGTAGACTGCAACCAGACTGTAAAGGGTCTTGAATGCCAAGCTAAGGAATTTAAATTTTACTTCATAGTAGTAAGGACTCACTGAAGTGTTTTGGAGAATGACAAAACTTCATGAGACAGTCCATTCTAATGGTGGACAAAATGTTCTCCTATGTGTGGAGCCTAAAAGGGACTCACTTCTAAGTTCCATCTTGGAAACATAGGTACTTTGGAGAATATGAAAGGAATTTACATCCTATATAAAATACAGGATTATATAAGGTTTATGCATGTGTATGTATTTTGTGTGTGTCTGTGTATGTGTACATCTCTCTTTAGAATCCTCATACAAAGTTAAAAGCTCAAATGATTCAGATCTTCTATGCCTGAACTGAAAAGATGCTGAAAAGAAATTTTAAGTAGAGGCCAAATGGAAATTGTCACTAAATAGACCTGACAAGTCTCATTCATTAAGGCTATTCCAAACACATCAATAAAAACCTCAAGGAAAGGTGATCTGGGGATTACATTACACTGTCCTTTTTAAGGTTCATGTCTTCATGTCACTTCCTCTATAATACTATTCCTACACAAGGACTTTTTTCCTGTGACATTATCAATTTGAAGAGGAATTAATAGAGTACAAGTGGAAGTTAACATTGCTGCTCTGTGTTACTTTACTACTGGACAACCATGATTTTCACTGTTATTTTACTGGCAACTTTGCTTTAGGTAGATCAGACCAGAAAACAGGTCGGACAGTATGGCTACACAGCCCCTACACTGAGAAATAGAAAAGGTAAATATAAAGAGCTTGTCTCTGGTTTGTGTTACTTTATGAAGGGGCCAGTGAAATGAATCCAGAAAGCAAAACAGAATTAAGGAAAAACCAATTCCTCTTTCATTTTACAAACTGCTTACACTAAAATTTATTTTCTCCTTAATACGCCAAATACATACACCTGTAATCTAACCATAGGGTCAAAGCACAATGAGTCTTGAGAAGGATCCCTTAAGTTAAAATCAAGAAATTTCCTTCCCTGAGCTCTAGTGCTCAGCACACCAAAGTATTCAAAATGAGTCTTGAAAGCAGCAAAATAATGTATTCATGTTTCCAAACAGTCAAATTATTCAACTGAGATTACCAATCAAGACTGTAAAAGATACAGCTCTAGACTTTAAAAAACATGGTTTAATTCTTTGCCAAGTATTTAATTACAGGTGCCAAACCAACAGTTCAGCATTCAATTCTCTAATAACTTATTCAGAGATTATGTATATGTGAAGAAAAATATTAGTTTTCTAAAGTCATAGATACAGGAATATATTAATGTGGCAAAATGGTTCAATTGCTTTATTCCAATTAACTGAGTTTAGTAGGATATGTGAGATAATAGTTTATGAAATGCATATTTAATACCAGAAAAGTTTTGAAGCTCAACTATTGCCCAAACCTTAAAAATTCATCTTTGTTCTTTTCAAGTATGTTCAGCTGATTTTTACCTGCCAAATCTGGAAGGTTAATGTGACTTAGAACCAAGCTCAACATGAAAGGAGATGTTATAAACATTTTTTTGGGTGTTGAATGGATCACAGGAAAACAGTCCTCTAATCTGAAACAAGTTGGGTTTTTTTTTAATTTTATACAAAGTATCAATCTTTCAAATGACTAGAAGGAAAAAAACCAATGAAAGGTATACAATCTGTAAGTACAGCAGACTTTAACTTAGCAGGAAACAATATGTGTTAAAAAGAGTATTAAAATTATCACTATAGATTAAGGATTTACATAAGACTTTGGAGCATCATTCATTATTTACAGTAAACTCCCATTTATCTACAACTGGAAAAGGTTCCTATTTCTGGTTAGCTGAAAAATTACTACGGGGACAGATTACCAATTCTCAAAAAATCAGAATACAGGAACATACTTGACACAGAAGCTACATTGGACACAATTTAGTATTTTTATGCAGATTCAGAAGGAATTTCACAGTCTGATGCTGCTAGGGTTAATCTGATGACAACAGAGTACTGAAGAAAATTACTATTTAGACTCAAAATTAACAGATGTCTACTGTACTGTTAAGAATAATTTGTATGGGATATTTGTTTTTAGCTTTTCTACAAATCTGAAAAGAAAAAGAACATTAATACAATTTTTACAAATATTTTGTTTATTTTAATGAAGCTGGTACAGATAACGTCCATTTAAAACCCATGTCCCAGGCCAAAAAGTACAATAAAGTCAAAAGATAGCAGTGGTCTGCTACATACATTTCTGCATCAATACCTTTATTAATTGCTAATGGAAAATTAGTAACTTTTCTGGGTTCTTCTGACAAGATTTAAAATTGTAAAATGGTTTGTCTCTTCAGTGAAGCACCTCTGGAGTTAGTCATGACTGTAACCTGATCTATCATCTCCATTTCCAACCTGATATTCCTCTTCTGGTCCAGGCCATCAGATTTGTTAAAAAGTAGCTTCAAATTAAGGAAACATCATTTTTCCACAGTTCAGTCCTCTGAAAAACTTCCATCGCCCACTGAAAGTTATAGTCCAGGAGTGAAGCAATGACACACCAGAACTTCAGGGTCAATATGAAAGTCATTTAGAACACTCGCTCTGGCAGATCTTATCACCTTCAAGCCTGCAATGCACAGTCCTAGTGAATGTGGCATGTATGTACATACACGTATTTCAAAAAAGATGGCAGGGAAGTAGGAAGGGGGCTGCGGCTTGATCACAAGAGTTCAGCACAATGAAAACAAATGATAGTGTATAATGAGCACTAGAATTCAAAATACCAGACTTTGAAAGTA